TATACCATGCTACGGAGAAGCCCGAGGCGCCTATGATTACTCTGGAGATGTGCATGACGGGACTGGACCCTGAACGAGCATCAATCTTCTTCAAGAACTCGGTCGACGGCCACGTTTCTTCTGCCAAGGAGATGACAAAGCTCTCCGGAATCTCTGATATTATCCCGGAGATGGAGATATGCGACTTTGATTTCGAGCCCTGTGGGTACTCGATGAACGGGATGCATGGCCCAGCATTCTCTACTGTCCATGTGACACCGGAGGACGGCTTCAGCTACGCCAGCTACGAAGCCATGGGGTTCAACCCCGACTCCTTGTCGTATCATGACCTGATCGAAAGGGTCCTCAGTTGCTTCGGCCCATCTGAGTTCTCTGTCGCAACCACTGTTCTAGGAGGAGGCTCCACTTGGGCGAACAAGGTCGATATCTATGGCTACAGCTGTGACAACATGGTGGAGCAGGAGCTGCCAGGTGGTGGGCTGTTGGTGTACCAGACCTTTGCTGCGTCCTCTGTGACTCCAATGTCACCTAGGTCCATCCTGAATAACTGGCAAGGAAAAGACGACAATGGGTTCTCCTCGGAGGGTGAGGTGGTGATGGACGACTGAGGAGAAAGATGAGAACGTGGGGATGATTACGAGAAATCTCGCTGATCTTTGGTCAGTTGACAATGGCTTTTAAAGCAAAGCAGCCTGCCAGGCTAGTAGTAATATTTGCTTGTGTTACATGCTTTGTTTTAGCTCAGAATAAATGTTCTACGTGGCTTGCTGTGTCTGCCACAATGAGCAGTGCTATGCTATCTTGGTGTTGGAAATTCTGATAAAAAGCTTTCGAACTTGGAATTCTGATGATGTGTGATGTTTACTTGTTTGTGTGCTGTGGAATAACTTTTTTTTCTGTGGCATTTGAGATGGGGAGCTGCTTGTGAATCCACGTTCAACGACAAGGGTGGCGTCCGTGGAACAGGCGATTAGGCCGAGCCATAGATTCTGGATGTCGCCATTTGACGTTGGACTGATGTGCCACTCGCTCCATGCTTCCTTCGGCAACCTCATCCGCTGCTACAGTATGTTTTATCGAACACTGCTCCCTGGAGAAGTTGCCATCAGGCATTCCCCCACCCAATAAAAGTGACCAAAGAGAGCGTTGGGTTGACTCTCCTTCCTGAATGTGTTTAAGACTCTGTCTGTATGTATACGTTTGCTTTTATTACATACATAATAGATGAGACAGACATGCGCATGGCTGAATTATCACCGAAAGTGGCAATGACTTTGACATAAATGAGATGGAAATCCACAAGGATGGAATCTTCTCTCTCTGCGTGTGTTCTACGGTCCTGAAATAAATGGCTGCGTTGCTGATATTGAAATGAAATGGATGTTGAAGATGGATTCTTCTTCTTGAATCCAATCTTTGCCTTCTTCCACTGGTAGCTGCACCTACTACATACACCTAATTCTGATCCTGATGACTGGTAGGATTGCTGTGGTTGTAAGGATTTTGATGTGTTTTCCAACCCAATTATGACCGACCAATATCTTGTGATCATAGGCGTTTATTGTTGCTCTCCACAGCCAGTTGCTAATGTATTGCAGGTTGTAAAGATAATTTTGGTAGCCATACAATGAATTCATTGCTGAATATATATATATATATATATATATATATATATATATATATATATATATATATATATATATATATATGGTGTTATACCACGTGCACATCACGTGATTGTTGGGTACCAAAGGAAACCCTAGAACAGATGGATTCCCACCAACCTTCCGAACCACGTGCGTTCGCGTCGCCACCTGCCTTCGCATCCAATCCCCGTCTCACAATAAACAAAAAAGAGGAGGAAAAGGAAAAGAAAACAAGCAGCCTCTTTCTTCTCTTCCACTCTCGCGCAGGTCCACGAGCTCATTTCTTCGCACAGAAATGGAGCTAACGGCGCAGCAGCTGAGGGGTTTTGATGGCTCGGACGAGAGCAAGCCCATCTACGTCGCCATCCGCGGCGCCATCTACGATGTCTCCTCCGGCAAGGGCTTCTACGGTCCCGGCGGCCCCTACGCGGTCTTTGCGGGCCGCGAGGCCAGCCGTGCCCTCGCCAAGATGAGCAAGAGCGAGGACGACGTCTGCGGCGACCTCGACGGCCTCTCTGACAAGGAGCTCGGTGTCCTCGCCGACTGGGAGAACAAGTTCCAAGCCAAGTACCCGGTCGTCGGCCGCCTCGCCTCTTAGATAACCAACCCTCCCCTTCCCTCTCTGTCGCTTGTCGTAAAAAATCTGAACTTTATGCCGTTTACAGGTTAGATCTGTTGGGTCCTCTGTGAATCCAACTAAATAAGTGTTGATTGTCTGAGGGTGTGGTTAGATGCTATGATTGCTTCTTGAATCCCTCAAGTTTATCTACGCGTGCACTAAAAATGGAAACTTTATGCTTATTGAACTGTGTTTGTTTGTGCGTGAAGTAGGTAAAATGCTTAATTATCTAGATGGTGTCATGCCACTTTAAAAACAAACCACTCTAATCCATAAATTCAACCAAGTTAAGTGAAGAATTTGTGAGGATTTACTAAGATTTGCCTCTTCAATCCCTCAGGTACATCACTGTATGCACTAGAAAATGAAAACACCTAATGATAATTGAGCTTGATTTGTGCGGCTATATGTGGCTGTCAGGTTCAGTGTAATCAAGTTAATGGGTGAAGAGTCATTGAACTTAGCTAGACCTTACCATGCTTCTTTGTTCCTGAGTAAAACATCAGAACCAAGTTTTGACTTGAGCCCTCGTGCACAATTTTCACTGGATTTGTTATGAAACAAATAAATGTGTTCTGTGGTTTTGTTGTTATATGCTTGCCAATTCTACTAGTCCATGATTCAACGATAACAACTACAAGATGCCGTAAGTATTTGGGGTTGCCACATTGATCTTTTTCGGCCATTGAGTTTTGTATTTAGTGACAATCTTGGTTAAATCAGGAAGTATGTAAATCATTATTTGAAGTTTTTGTAAAATTCTCTTGGCTGTTTTACCTCTTCTACATGTTCTTGCATCAACAATACTAATTGACATTCTTCGTCTAACTACATGTTTTGCCTAATTGTTTTTTTGGCAAAACTAACAGATGACTACATAAGCAAAGGTTATAACTGAAATGAAGGTTCTTATATTTAATGAGTTATTATTAGATACCATTAATTCTGGTTCAGAATATGTACTTGTCATCGTTCTTGTTGATGATTAAGCTCTTCTACCTTAATTGTTTTCTTTCCTCTTGCTTTGTTGGTTGCAAATGGAATCTTAAGGAGGTAATTAAGTCTGAATTTTATCTTTCAGCTTTCTGATCAATTTTCATTTGATTTTTCTGGATTTATGTCTGTCAAAAGTAGGTTGTTCGGAAGTCCTTCCGAGATCATGGATTCGGCATTGACTGTTATATTTTTCATGGTTGTTTCAGAATTGTCTTGTTACTGCTTGCCAACAAAAGCATACTCTACTCAGCTACATGTCCTATGGTAGCTTCTTAAAGCTCAAAAGAACTCTTAGATGGATTTGTAGGAATAGAGTTCGGGGCATACCATTGTATCTGTCTGACATGAATAATAGCTTTTCATATAAAGTTGTCATTCATTGTAAAAGAATCTTTTTTGGAATTATATTTCTTTCGGTTACTGTGTTAGAAGTGGCTGTTGAAATTTAAAATGCTTTAATTATTTAAATATAATATGTTTTCCTACCTTTTGTTAAAGTATTGTTTTTATCAGAGTACTTAAACATGACATATTCCTTTTAGTTTTTTTGTCAATGTACTCTGTTTTAGATGCTTTCCATCTCTAAAGCTTTAATTCTCTGTTTTGGATGATACTTGTCATTTTTAAGTATGGTCTTCGCCACATGGATTGTTAAAATGAATGTGATGCTTTGTTTCGATGGATATAATCCATTCTCTCGTTGTCTCTTTATCTGATAGATCATGGCACTTTTTTCTATTTTCATGCAGATGAACCTTTTATTTGATTGGTCTTTTAGTCTCTTTGCATCTTTTTCATAAGTCACTGAATACATTATGTTAAAACTGTTCAGTTCCTGATACTTGAAACCTTAAAGATTTAAATAGCCTCTATTAATGAGAACCATCAGCAAAAGCCAGATTTATCAGATTTACAACTTCGAGCAAAATTTTCTATGTCCAAATAGAAGACACAGGTCTGTATGGTGCCTCAACCAGAAAGGGATCTTCCAAATTCCTTCTCTCTAAAGATTGTAAATTTGGTGGTGTTTGTCAAAAATTGTTTGCTGCAGTGTTTACTTATGAGGAAGAGGAAACAGCTGCTCATCTGTTACTCCAGTGTAGACTTGCAAGAGATACTTGGCAAAGCCTGTGCCTGACTACACTCTTCATTGCAAGCCTGTGCCTGACTTCAGGAGGCTTTCCTTTATAAAAAGCAGTTCTGTAGACTTCTTGGTTATTGTTTACTGTGTGAGCCTGCTGGTTTTCATGGTTGAAAAGAACGCAAGAAGATTTTGTCAGGTTCTTCTTTGAAGGTAAGTTGAGATCAGTAGCTTGTGTTTCTCTCTCCAGGTGCAAGCAAGGTCATGCATGATTTGCTTCTCCTTTTTACATTTGTTTAAGCAAGGTCTTGTAAATTCTTCTGATTCCTTCTCCTTGATCTACTTCCTTAGCATAAAATGTGTTCAAATACATAATAATTTATTGTGGGATCATATAATTTCTCTCCTTTAGGACTAAATCATATACATTGGTCCTTTCTACACTTTGCATTAATGAAATATTCTACACAAAACCTTTTTTTTTGTATTTTAAAGTGTAATCAACAAACTCAAAAATCAAAGGAATAATGAGGCACTACAAGCTGCAAGTTTTAGGTCTTGTGGGATCCAGTGTGCGGAGGCCACGTCACCCTGGAAATGTGTCGGGGTGGTTCGGTCGAGCTTTAGCGGTGCAATCATCCGTCAAATGCGCGCAAAGAAGACTAATCGCGGACTCACGTGCAATAAGCACACCGGCTCTACGTTTCGGTCTTCCTCCACCGCGCGGGTTCTCCCTCTCGTGTCGTCGATTCCTGGTGGGAGGGATTAGGGTTAGGAGAGAGATAGATAGAGTGGGGGATCGTGATGGCTCGGTTGCCGAATCAAGACGAGCTCCGGACTTGTTCCGGCTGCTCAGGTGCGGCGTCGGCGGCGGTGAAGTTGGAGACCGAGGATCCTTTGGATGACGAGCTCGGCCGTCTTAGCAAGAAGTTTAAGACCGTGGCCCGTCATCAACAGGTAGCACCGATCAATCTTTGTTTGACTTCATCGTTTTATGGTTCGACCTCACGTTCTCTGGCCGTTCTCTAACCAACTAGAAGGGCACAAGGACGTTTTTTTGTGTCACAATAGTTGGTTATATTTGGTTTGCTGTTCTAATTACAAACTAGGAACTATTTGGATAGAGCTCAATGGGAGAAAGAGAATCATGTAGCTAATAGTTGGGATATTACTACTAGTTGTTGTTGTTGTTCTGATTATGAGAGTTAGGCTTTATTAATTTTTTTCTATTCATTTTATTTATTGATGAGCACATATTGTAGAAGAGACTCTCTTTGTTGCAATTGTTATATTTGCTTTGTACCGTGCAGAGTTTGTAAAGTTGGTAGCGTAGGTTTCTGATGTTTGTTTCTTGCAGGACGCGATGTATAACTTGCTTGATGAACTTAGTCCTTTGGGCCTACATCTTAGGAAGAGCCCATCTTTGGTTGATTTGATTCAGATGAGGCTTTCTCAAACAAATTCTTCTGCTGCATCTTGTGGCTCAACTTTGAGAGCTTGGGAGGTGGAAGGAAGAAAGAACTGATGTCAGCACCTGTTTCTAGCACAACTGAAAAGATGAAAGCCTCAAATTTTCCTTTATCACTTTTGAGGATTGCTACATGGGAGGTGAGAAATTATGTTGCTCATGTAATTATTGTTCTATTTGTCTTTCAATTTCCTTTTGATGTTTGATGCCGTTGGGAAAGGTATCATATGTCAATAATGCGAAGACAAATTTCTGTCACTGCTTCTCGTCATCTGATTGATGTGATTGATTGTTCTTGGTTGTCCCATGTATTCTGACGACACCACATGGTGAATGCTTGCTCTAATTTATTTCCATGTGATAATTGATCTGAGGGCTAAGAATCAGTGTATGTTTGCTAATCTTTGTATTATTGTTTATGAGTTTTGATGTAAACTGAATACTTTTAGATTCACAATCGTATCTTCGATGGTAACTTGGATTTAGCTGTTAAGGATGGCAGAAGGAACTAACTTTCTTCTAGATTTTCAGCAGATTCTGTGCATCAACTGCACAATATCAAAGTTACTCTTCATTCACCATATGATGAATCAGTTGAAAGAAAACCACTTATGCCAAGGAATGACTCGTTTGGCGAGCTTCTAATTCTTCATCGCATAGCGTCAATGCCCCAGTTCTTGTTCAGTATCCAAGAAGATGCAGGGGATGGATACCTTTAGCCCATCTTCGAAACTTGTGCATATTATCATCTTAGCAGTTATAGATTTAGCCCATCAATACTCATATTTGATGAGCTCTGGCGCAGATCAAGAATTTGCAGTTACAGATTTCTCATCTTAGCATGACTCAGGCCAGACTCATAGTGCAGGTATTGTTTTATGACCCTTGTAATTACTACAGCAAATCCTCACTATGTTAAAGAGAAGTCTATACTCCTTTTCAGGCTGATGTTGCTACTGAAACATTCTTTGTAGTGAGAAATTGATGATGATAATGAAATTGGATTTCACACTCATTCTTCCTATTCTTTTGTAAAGGCTTTGTTTTTACATTGAACTCTTTGCTTTGATACTCTACATGCTTTTCCTTCACAAATACAAGACACTTAAAAGACTCGTGACGTGAAGCACTTCTCTTACGAGATTTGTCCTCACCAAAGGGTGACATTTATTTATTACACCTTCTTGCAGGAAAACTATGTTGACATCCGTGCATCATCCCAATCGACTCAAACACACGTCTCGATCCATGTTCCTAAATCAGGAACCTTATCATCTCCATCCACGTAAAATATCGATACGTGTTCAGAGCTCATTCATTAATTCTGCCAATTATCATTCAAACAAGAACTCGCGTATGGCATGTACACCTCTTCTTTTCTGAGTCTTTTATTATAACAATTTGATCGATTGCCAATCTTGATTTGATTTGATGAAATAATTTACTAATTAGATCGAACCATTGAGCAAGTTTAGTAGATTCCTCTGATCCTTATAAGTCCATTAAATTATATAAATTAATGATACTAAATCAGATATTATATATTATACATAAACAAATTATTTCCAAGTGATTTGCTACACTTAGACTGCACCAAAATAAATAAATAAATAAATAAATAAATACACCTTTAGTGAACTAGAAGTTCATCACAACCCACGTCAGCAATGAAGCCCAATCTGACCGATACACATCCTGTCTCAGGGGTTACTCACACCTCGCCAAATGCGCAGCTGCCACATCATCCGTAGAGTTATCACGGGTGACTAAGTCTCTTCTTTCTCTTGTCGCCACGTGGCGGATAAGCCTTGACAGCTCGACAAGTTGAAAGTAGGAGAACATAAAGAATTCCGACGGCCCTCCGCACAAGTCAACCGGAAGAGAGAAAAAATAATGTGGCGAATTTCCAAAAACAAAAAAAACAAAAAAATCAATTATTTTCATAATTCTCTAATAACTTATATGGTACCTAAATATCTTTAATTTGATAGCTAAAACCACCTATTATTTTTTCTTTCCTTTCTTTTTTCTTTTTTTATGGATCGATTCATGAATCGATCTAATTATAATATTTTCAATAGTACCTTATATTATTTTTTAACATTAAATTATAATATTTTTTATATATTACTAAAAACATTATAATTAAATCAGTTCAGACCATAAAAAAGTCCTTATGCGCAATTCTCCTAATATAATTAATATAATATATAATTCGTCGGTGGACTTCACATTCCTCAATTTCTCCGCTGCTCTATTTCCTCTACCCTTTTCCTCCCCTTTCCGCGCCGAATCGTTTGGGTCCCCAAAACCCTCTTCGCCGTTCTCATCCCCACCGCTACCACTTTTCGTGACTACATCTCGATCGCATCTCCTCAGCTTTACTTCCCTCGGTTGTTCTGGGAATCGGTTCTTCGCTGGTCGCACTCCTCCGCCAGATCTCCTCCTTCCGTTAAGTGTATGCAACTGGTTAGGTATATTCTGCTCCTACCTATTTATTGTCGGTTGTACGTCTCTTCTGGATATTCTTGGTGTAGGTAGCTACTGCCGCTGAGCTGTTCGAAGGGGACTTCATGATGAAGTTTTTCTTCATGTTGTTGTATGTGGTGGCGCTGTGGTTAAAAAATTTTTGCACAAGTAATGTTTCTGTGGCTGTCAAATGTGGTTGATTGAATGGTCTTTTGCAATGGTGCATATTGGAGTTTGTGTTTCTGATGGTTTATTTAGATAAAAGTAAAGAAAAATGTCGGCTTTTGTGTCATTTACCTGTAATTAGTTATCTATATAGAACTAGCCTTCTACTGCGACATTTTTGAGCTGACTAACATGAATGGTCGCGAATCTTAGTGTCCTTTGTTTCTGTAAGGTTGATATTAATGTCTTTGATTGTATATTCGAACTTGTTCTTTTGTATCACATAAATAGAAAGGTAAGGCGAAACAGATAGCAGAAGGAAAAACACTCGTAAACATCAACCGATCGAAGTCTATATTTATCCATGAGAGATCATTGCTATCCTGTATGACGATTAAGCACACATGAAATATGCAATTCTGTTTTAAGCAAAGACTGTAGAATGTATAGTAAGTCAATACCTTAAGCAATGTTTTGTTTAGTCCTCTGTGTTTGGCACGTGACTACCCTGTTTATTGAGGTTGTAGGCCTGATATGTGTTCTTGACCTCTATATGGGATTGTACTACACATCTCCTAAGTGTCAAAATATACCTGAAAGTTCACTGTTTGTTGAATTATTGTCTTATCTATGCTGACTTGATCTTCACTGCCATTGATGATTTCTTTTTTTATCTTTTTTTGCAGTAGCTAGAAGTTTTCTTGAGAGAAGTCACCCTGGAATCAGGTAAAAATGTTGGCATGGTGTGATTCTTTTATATTGTTTTTTCTGTGATGCTCTATTGACATTAACTTTTATTGGACTTACCTGTCATGCAGCATGGGTATCTACCTAAGCAGTCCAAAAACTGAGAAATTTTCTGAAGATGGTGCCAATGCCAGGCTTAGGTTTGGTTTGTCATCTATGCAAGGATGGCGTGCAACTATGGAAGATGCGGTAAGTTATTTAGGGTTATGTTAGGAGTTTATTTGCAATAGCCACCATTATGAGCTATGTATTCTAACATGCCAATTTAAATATTGAGTTATATTTTCTGCATTACTTCTTTGCATGTGCAGATATCGGTCAATTAATTGTATGATGTTCCACTTCAGAATGTTTTTTTATCAAACGTTCAGTTTCGTTCTATCTGTTTCTTGTCCTATGCAAAATGTTCATTGTTTTCAGCTTTTCATATTTTGGAAATCAACCTTTGCAAATATTAACCAAAGTGTCATTCACATTAGTTTTGGCAGTTTCCACAGGTAAGTTTATATTAACTCTTGCTTACATTTATATCGTAGGAATTATCAAATATCACAAATAGTTGCTGTGTGCCAGTGGAAACTTACAGTTAAATGTGCCCTTCAAAAAGTATGGAATTTTGGTGCTAGAGTCTAAACCAACATGTATTTTATAACTATACTTCATATAAAAAGTACGAGAAACTTAACAAACTTGGTAAGAAATTGTTTGAAACTAGCTCACCTGGTTGTGTGCATGAGAAGGATAATAAGTTCATGAGTTTTTGTTGATGCAATTATAGTATTTTGCTCACTTGATTGGTAAGAATGTGTGTCTCCCCCTATCTTCACACCATCGGTGAGACATCAGTTCATATTTTGATATGCTATGTTGCACACTTATTTCTCTAACACTGCATGTCCCAGCATGCTGCTGTGCCGGATCTTGACAATTGCACATCATTCTTTGGCGTTTATGATGGTCATGGAGGTACTGATTTCAATTATGCTCTTATCAATTTTCTTAATGTTTGTTTGTTTTACCATTACTGCATCCAGTATATGTCTTTGGTCTCGCCTGATTCGGGTGAGAAATGTGCTTGAACACATACATAATGTGCTTGAACATTAATGTGCTTGAACACATACATAAATGAAAGGAAGAAAAAACCATGATGTAGATGGCCACAAAAATGAAAATGCCTTGTATATGGTGAAATCATGAATATCTGATAATATAATGTGTTTCCTTGGCTGCTAAATGAGAGGATGAATTTTTGTTTTTCTGGTGAAAGTTTTGTACAACTCAAATAGTCCAGCTGGTACTATTAATGACATGAAAGATGGAAAACGTGGCTGGTGTCTCCCATCCAGTTATAAAAGGATTTCTTTTATTGCCCTGACACGTCAAGGAGAACTTGGCTTATCATATGCCCTGCCCCCAGGCTAAGCTTGGTGAATATATTATTTCCAATTCTTTTTGGAAAGATACATGGGTTCATATGCTCCATCTTTTTAAGGGTGAGAGTTTTATCTTTGGTCGGGACCTTATGGTTTCTTGTTGTTGTTATGTTGGCATTGTCATTGTTGTCTTTGCCATAGTTTTCTTTGAGAATTGGGTTTAGTCATCTTGAACCTGATTATTAATTGGGTTAAATTGGTTTAATGGTTTCATGTTCCTGAATCCCATATAAACTGATTTATGAATGGGGTTGTTTATCTCCACCTTTCGATGACCCAAAACCATATAAGCCAAACTTGAGTTTCTAATCTCTTGTTGATTTTCAGGTTGTGTCAAAAATTGCCACCCCTGCCTCTGTGTTTCATACTTCAATGAAACAAAGACTTCCTAGCTCGTTCTCAGAAATAAAATGAAATATATATAAAACAATATATAATTTTGTCGTGCTCTACCCGACTGGTCCTTCGTGTCTATTAATTTCTAAATAGGGATGAATTGCTACCTTTACAATTAACGAAGTCTGAATATTCATGCTGTTTTTAGTTCCCTATTATAGGCAAGAAAGCTTTCACTGATAGATAAGTATAGTATTTGTTCTCCGTGCATATGAACACCAATGATTTGCCGTCTCTACAATTTTGTGAACATCGGTATGTGATGCTGTTGTCCATATCATAGATTGTATTTTCTGTATTGTCCACTACGTCTGGTGAAAGGAATGCAATGTCATACAAAATTAATTTTGGGCATTT